AGAAGTCAGTTGTAAAAAAACGATCTTAAGTAGACGGTAGTGTCGGAGGTGTGAGTGACAGAACTGCAAAGATGGGAATCAAACACCTGACCTTTGGAAGCCCTGCTGGGACCTGTCTAGGGCCTCAGACAGCAGGGAGCCTGGAATAGAGGGATCCACTCTCCAGGAGAGTGGGCTGTGCCCCCCTTCCAGATTCTGCTAAGGCAGTAGCTGAAGGAGAGCTCCCCAGTGCCTAGCACTAGCAAGAGGAGCAATGGCTGGATGGCCCTGCGTTGTCTTGGCTCAGAGAAGGGCCAGCTGTCCTAAGGCTGGTGCTTGGCATGGACACAGCCCCCTAGACCATCTCTTTTGCGCAGTTCCTGCTGGGTACACCCCGAAAAGTGGTGCAGCCCATGAGCCGAACTCTGCTGGGTACAGCGCCACGTGGCCCCAAGGCTCCGAACGGCAGGTGCCCCTGCCTGTTCAGTCCTTGCTATTGTCTTGGAGGAGGTCACAGTTCCTGGACAGATCGTATTTTGGTTTGGCCTAGACCCAAACCTTTAGAGGCTTTTATTTATTTAGCTTCTGCGCTCTCTAGAAGACCAGGCCAGAGCTGGCTAACCTGACCTTGTAGACACTGTCCCTCCCAGGGGGACTTGAATGCTTGCATTTGGGGGCCTTGAGCTGACCGACTTGCAGCCTTGCAAATTGTGGGAAATTTCTGGGAGTGAACCAGCCTATAGTGACTGCGTTTCATGAGGTCCGCTTGGGGAGGATAGCAGAGACCATGCAGCTTCCCTGTGCTGGGGGACCAACAGGCAGTATGGCACAGACTGGGACAGGGGGGTCCCTGAATTCTTCAGAGAACTGGCCTTGAGCATTCTGGGCACGTGGGCACCACCTCCGGAGGGCTCTCTGGGCACAGAGACTGGTGCTCTCACCTTTGTATTTGTATCCCAGAGCCCAGTACATGGTACAGAATGAATGAAAGTCCAGCCCTGGTATTTTTTGAAACAAGAATAGCCCCACGAGGATTGAAGAAACAGTTGTGAGTTTCCAGATAATTCTAAGCCAGGAACATGGGGGTATGAGGAAAGAAAAAAAAAAAGGGAAGAGGTTTTTGGTGAGAATAGGCCTCCTGTTGATAACGTGAGCAGAACTTCATTTCACGTGCTTAAGCTCTCCCCGACCTTCACCCCATGCCAGCGAAACTTCGGAGGGAGAATAGCCCATAGTGGGACTCTTGGGGGGTGACTTTTGACTTTTGGGGAGCTCAGATTGGACTCAGAGGTGGGAGTCTCTTGAGGAGAGGGTCTTGCTGAACTGGACTGTTGCAGGGACTGTCACAGGCTCTGTGCTCATGCCGAGGTGGGGGACAGTGTGGCTGGATCTGCGGTGATCAGGTCTTCATCCCCGGTTCTAGTCCAGCCAGCCTTCCAGGGAAGCTCACAACGTCCTTCAAGTGATTTCTTTTACAAGATGTTTGCCAGCCTCTCAGATAAATCTTCGGCTGGCAGGGAACAGCAAGGGGGGGCGGGGGGAATCACTGGCCCCCCAGCATGGAAGGCGAGTTCCCATTTGTCCGGCTTGGGAAGGAGCGGGGCTGGTGCTGTGTGCAGGGAAGTGGCCTCAAGTATGACCAGGAGGGCCTGGGACCACCTGGGGCCCTGCTTTGGGCTCCAGCTCAGATCTCATTCCTTGAAGGGTGTGCTGTGTGCCTGAGCCCCCCCAGCAGCTGGCGGTTTCCACTCCGTGCCTCAGGGGGATAATGACAACACCTTCCAGAGGGTGGGATTGTCCTGAGTTAATCCCTGGAAAGCTCTCCCATGGTTCCAGGTACTTGTGAAGCCATAAGTACATAACTCTTGCCCTTCCCTAAAGCTTGCTGTCCCTCCTGGTTTCCTAATGCTGCCGAAACAAATTACCACCCATTCCGTGGTTTAAAACACAAATTTATTCTCTTACATGCAAGCCTTAAAGGGTTAGCAGGGCTGCATTCCTTCTGGAAGCTCTAGGGGCAAGAATCCATTCCCAGGCCTTTTCCAGCTTCTAGAGGCTCCCTGTACTCCTCAGCTCATGGCCCCATCTTGGTCCTGGAAGCTGGTAGTGTAGCATCTTCCAGTCTTTGCAATCACTTTCCCTCCTCCTGCTCCCCTTCTCTGGTCACATTGCTTTTTCTGACTCTGACCCTCTTTCCACCCCCTCATAAAGGTCCTTGAGCTCTCATAATCCGGTGTCATCTTTCCATCAAAAAATCCTTAACTTAATCATACCTGCAAAATCCCTTTTTCCATATAAGGTGACGTGTGTATATAGGCTTGGGGGACTAGGGTGCGGACATCTCTAGCAGGATATTGTTTTTCGGTCACAGGGTCAGATAACATTTCAGAGACTGGGGGCAGTGGCCTGTGGTGCAGATTGGATACCTGGGCTGCTGGAAGGCCAAGGATTCTACCCCTCCCCTGGGGCATGGTGGGAAAGCTGTGGGAACACAGTGGGGCAGGTTGTGCAGCTGGGGAAAGCCACTCTTCTCCAGACGTCAGAAATTTCTTTTTTTTTTTTTTTAAGATTTTATTTATTTATTTGATAGACACAGATCACAAGTAGAGAGACAGGCGGGGGTGAGGGGACAGGGGAAGAATGCGGGGCTTGATCCCAGGACCCTGAGATCATGACCTGAGCTGAAGGCAGAGGCTTAACCCACTGAGCCACCCATTTGCCCTGGACATCAGAAATTTCTGATAGCTTCATATACTCTCCCAGCCTGTGCCAAATAAGTAAGGGTGTGCATCTGATGCCCAGAGAGGGTTCTGTGCGTGATTCCGGGAAAGCACCTGATGCTTGAAAAAGAAAATGAGAACGGGGGTGGGGGTGGGGAGGTGGTGTTACTCTTTTAAGCAGTGGGACAGCCTGGAATCTGGTATTGAAGGACTGGGATGCAGTCCCAGCTCTGCCACTTCCGGGCTGTGTGACCCCAGCCTCGTCCCTTCCCTCCTCCAAGTCCTATTTGCTTCCATTTGCATGATGGAAAAATGTAGTACCCGCCTCAGTGAGGTATATGAGGGCTAAAGGAGCATGAGAAGAACTTACAAGGCTTAATAAGTGTAAGGTGCCCACGTGCCAGGGGTACTATATGGTGCGGGCCTTCAGGGCTCTGCAGAGGAGTGTGATGTTGCTTCATCCCCCAACCTCCGCCCCTGGAATCACCGAGCAGTGCCTCAGGCGGGAGGGTCTGTGCTGCAGAGAAGAGCCAGGGTGGGAGCCCGCCTGTTAGGCAGCAGGATCCAAAGTACAGAGGCCCAAGCACTCCCAGCAGGTTGGGAAGACCCAGAGACCTGCCGGCTGCACAGGAGGTGGGCAGGGGGAGGTCAGCAGGGTCAGAAGAGGCGCTAGGAGCCAACAAAGGTGTTTAAGCCAAGACTAAGCCAGACCCCATATCACAGGGCATTGTTATATATTTATATTTACTTGTTTTTTTGTTTTTACTGTCTTTCCTCTACATTATAAACCACGTAAGAGTAGGGATTATAGTTTGTTTGCTTCCTGATGTATCTACAGAGTCCAGTGGGTGTTCAGTAAATATTTGTTGCATGAATAAATGAATGAATGACCTAATTGAATCCCCAAGTAATCACTTTTTGCAGCGTCGAAATTTTTGTTTCTCTTTTTTTAAATTCTGGTGTAGATAGTTATTAGTGCTATATTAGTTTCAGGTATATGATATAGTGATTCAGCAATTGTCTCCGTTACTCAGAGCTCATCATGAAAAGGGCACTCTCAACCCCCTTCACCCGTTTCACTCATCCTGCCACCTGCCTCCCCTCTGGCCGCCATTTTGTTCTCTACACTTAAGAGTCTGGTTTTTTTGCTGTCTCTTTTGCCTTTTGTTTCCTGAACTCCACATACGAGTGAAATTGTATGGTATTTGTCTTTCTGCAACTGACTTATTTCACTTGGCTTTACAACCTTCTAGGCCCATACACGTCCTTGCAAATGGCAAGATTTCACAGCACTGATATTAAGTCCTTGGCAGGCATTAGGTGTAAGGTGGTGTCCTCAGAAGGTTAGCCGGGCTCTGGTGTGTGGTGTGAAGGGGGGAGAGAGAGGCAGAGGTCCATTAGAAGAATCCAGGCTGCAGAGCCAAAGTCCATAGCTTCTCCCACAGGGAGGGACAGAACAGCGTCATTTTAAGAGATGAATAAGATGGACTTCCAAGGCTAAGTGGGGCATGATTGCTGTAAAGGTGAAGGAATTCTGGAGTGGGGAGGAGGTTAGTTAGGATATATTGCCTTGCCCAGTGAGGCAATCAGGAAATGCTGGGGGATACAGGGGTGAGGCTGAAGACCCCACAGCCAGCACCTTCTTTTGCGGGGTTGAGCCCTTGGGGAAAGGAAGATATAGTTAGAAGGCCACAAGATGAGGCTCCCATGGCCACTTCCATTCTCTCTACCCCTCTTCTCAGTTTATGAGTATAAACTCATGTTGATGAGTAGACATTCCTCCAGGAGCCTTTTCCAGCCCCTCTTGGGCCCTCCTCCTGCCTCACCCATGGCTCTGATTTCCTTTCTTTTTTCTTCTTTGAAGTAGGCTCCTCACCCAGCCTGGAGCTCCACTCAGGGTTTGAACTCACAACCCCAAGATCAAGACCTGAGCTGAGATCAAGAGTTCACTGCTTAACTGACTGAGCCCCCCAGGTGCCCCCCTCTGATTTTCCTTGTCCGTATTCCTCCACTAAACTGCCCCAGGTCCTTTATTACTGTGGAATAGGTGGCTGGATGGATGGCAAATAAGGAAATGTGGGAAAAAGAATGTGGGAGAAAAAGCGAGGTGTGAGCACCAGAAATATGGATGATTGTTTTTCCTTTTTTGTTCCGCATTTTCCAAATTATCATAAATGTATTTGGCTTCTATTCCCTACCAAAGTGTCTGTGAAAGAGGAGGAAAAAGGCAAGAAAATGGATGGCTCAGGATGTTAGCCTCCTTTCTCATGAGCTCTTGGTTCTTGGTTTGCTTTCCTACAGGTGGAGGCAGGGAAAGGCCTGGAGATGAGGAAGCTGGTTCTCTCGGGGTTCCTGGCCAGCGAAGAGATCTACATTAACCAGCTGGAAGCCTTGCTGCTGGTGAGTCTGTGCTCCGGCTTGCCGGTCAGCGTCATGCTTGCAAACTGATTTTGGGGTGGGAGAAGAAGGGGGACCTGGACCAGTCCTCCCCTGTGGGCAGAGTCTGACAGCCTGGCATTGGGCAGCCGGGGTCATTGCCAAAAAAGGGGCCTGTGCCTCTCAGCCCCAGGCCTCCTTGACCTGCCCTGGGAAAGGTGGGAGAAACACAACCATGTTGGAGATGAACGCTCCCGTGGCCGCTGACCACGCACAGGCACCACTGATGAATGACGGTGCTCTGTCCAGGTGGGGGCCCAGGTGCGGCCCAGGTGAGGACCTAGCCTCCACCTCCACACTGTGCTCTGGGCAGTCTCTACCAATCAAGCCGAGTCCTCTTTGTCATGCCCTGGTTGCAGTCCTTTCTCCTCCCACAGATAGTGAGCCATGGCTTTCCTCAAGCCCCGTGGCAGGAAGTGTGAGGTAGGCGGGTGTCTGTATCATTTGAGAAGCACCATAGCTCTGAGGCATTAGACCAGCCCCAACCCTCTGTGAAGATGCCTCAGTTTCCTCCCAAGATGGCAGCACTGTGAGACTCAGACTGGGAGGGAAGTATTAGATATGACGCCATTTTCCTTTAAAGAAAGTGCACCTTAGATGTGGCTAGATCTTACACAGAGGAACTGGGGAATGTAAAGGCCTCCCCCTGGGTGTTTTGCAGCCTGAGACATGGGATGATATCACTAAAAGAGGGAATAAGAAATGTAGATGAGTAGAGACTCATTCTTTTTTTTTTTTTTTAAGATTTTATTTATTTATTTTGGGGGGGGGCACAAGCCAAGGGAGAGGGAGAAACAGACTTCCTGCCTAGCAGGGAGCCTGACAGGGGGCTCAGTCCCAGGACCCTGGGATCATGACCAGAGCTGAAGGCAGAGGATTAACGACTGAGCCACCCAGGTACCCCAGAAACTCATTCTTGTAAGAACTATAAGATACACATTTATGTACCTGTTGTGATATGAAATGTTGCCACCCAGGATGCCGGGGGCCTTGGCATTTATTACCCCAGGAATAACTATCGAAATGTGCAGATACTTTGCCATGCCTGGGTGTCTCAGTGGATTAAGTGTCTGACTCTTGATTTCGGCTCTGGTCATGATCTCAGCGTCACGAGCTTGAGCCCCACGTCTGCTTGTCCTTTTCCCCCAGCTCCTCCCCCCACTCACATGCTCTCTTTCTGCACCCTCTCAAATACATAAACAAAAATCTTAAAAAAAAATGTGCATCAAAAAAAATTAATAAAAGAAATGTGTAGATACTTTGTGACTGCCTGGGCTCGGTCTGTGGTACCTCTCACTGAGGGTTTATTGGTAGGCATGACAGTGTTTGTTCAAGAGCAGGACAGTCCAGCAGACAGACAAGGACTGTGGTCTGGGGCCAGAACTAAGGCAAGACTTGACTCTGCCATTAATCATAGATTCATGGCACTGTTTTTCTTATCTGGATCTGAACCCATTAGTGCATCATGAAATCAATGTAGGTTGGAGCCAGCATTTTTTATAAAATGAGAAAGAAAATACCAGTGTGCGTTGTGCATAATAAGAGTAAGTACTATTTCACTTAATTTCGGGTGTGTTGTGTGTATATGCATGTATATATATATTTATATACATACATACATAATATATATATGTATGTACTGGGCCACATTCTTTCTCATATTGTCATTTTGTTGTGTTGTGTGTATATGTGTGTGTATATATATATACACACACACATACATATATATATATGTATGTACTGGGCCACATTCTTTCTCATGGGTATTGTCATTTTGGAAACCCCTGGCTTTGGGCAAGTTGTGCATAACCTCCTTGAGCCTCATCTAAACATGAGAATAATCCCGTGACCTTCTCTGTCTTCTTCACGGGGTTGAGAAGCTCAGTTGATCCCTTTTGGGGTCCCAGGCACTCAGGGTAGCTGAAGGAAGGAGGACAAGCGGAGGACCAGTCAGATGCACATGACATACCTCAGGAACGGAGAATTGCCACAGCCAAGTGAGGGGGCATCGTTGTCATTACTGAAAGGATGTGTGTTTGAGAGGAGTTCCAACAGAGGACCTTCTGACAGATGGCCTGTCAGAATCCCTGCTTGACCGCTCTCAAGCTCGAGCCCTTCAGAATATTTGTGAGCCCTTGTGGCACATCTTCTCCATCTGCAGACCCCAGATACTGATACGAGTACTCTGTTTGTGGGGTTGTTGTGGGGACAAATGGAGTTTGTGTGTGAAGCTCTTAGAACAGAGACTAAAGCGTTAGCTGCTGCTGTTATTTTGTCCAGTCCTGGGAGAGACGCAGGTTGGGGCCTGTTTCTGTCAACACAGCCTTTCCCTGAAGGAAGGGGAGGCGAGTCCTCAGAGGAGGCTGGGCCCTATTGGATTCCAGCCTGTGTGTGCCTTCTCGTCAGTCATTGGGCCTAAGGTGAGCTTCCCTGTGTCGGGGCAAAGATAGCAACAGAAGTAGGGGCCAAGACACTCCCTCCCTGCCTCACCTTTCTAACAGCTCAAGCCTCAAAGGCAAAACCTGTGAGGCTCAGGCCTACAGGCCACCCAGGACACATCCCTCCTCTCCCCCCAGTTTGTTCATCCCAGGCCCCTGATTGGTTCTTGAACAGAGGCCAGGAGAAGAGTGGGGAGGCTGACTGGGAGACCTGGTCTATGCTAGAGGGCTCCAGGAAGAGGGGGCGGATCCTCCACAGCTACAGCCTCAGACAGTGAGCCTCCGAGATAGGAATCAAGCCTTTCCACCCAAGGCCTTGAGCTGGGAGCCCTCCCCTCACAGCTTTCTGATTACTAAAGCCTTTGCCCTTTAGGGGGTGATCTGACCGAGGGGCCCCGGGGAAGAAAACCTCTCCTCTCCGTTGCCCACTCCCAGATCTCCTACTCATCACCCAGCCCCTCTGGCTCTGCTCCTCCCATGTTGGTGTCAGACTGTTCTCAGCTTAACACTTCCTGATATGCAGATGGCTGGGTGTGTGTGGTGTGTGTACCCAAGGCTGTGTGCACACACAGACGCTGTTGGGACTCACGCAGGAGCCTCTGTTCCTGCCCCCCTGGGTTGTTGGCTGGAGCAAGGTTTGGTAATCTGGAAACCTCCGGTTCCCTGTTGGCTCAGATTACAAACGGAGTGGGCCCGCAGCCCCGAGCTGGAGTGGGGGGTGGAGGAAGGGAGACAACCAGATGCGTGTCATTCTGCATCTCACCCACTGTGGGGAATGTGGAAGTGAGCTCAGGGGCTGCCTCTGGCCATTGCTACAGCACTTCCCACCACAGGGCCCTCTGCTCTCAGCCTCGCATTTGGGGTTCTCAGGTTCCTTTTCTCTAAAATAGGTTAATGATGATTCCCTCCCTGGGTTCCGGGAAGAGGAGTAACTGAGATGATACGTTGGCAGCCTCCAGGCCTTCTGGGATAGGAGGTGGAGGAAGTGGGCTGATTTCTTGCCTCTGTTTCAAAAGGCAGGTTGCTGGGGGACAGAGCTGACAGACGGCTGTGGGAAGGCCCGCTCTGAGTCAGAACCCACCTGGCCCCGCTTCCTGAGAAGCACTTTGTGGAAAGTGGAGAGCCAGGCCTGACTCCCGGGTCACTCAGCAATCCTCTCTTTTAAGAATTTGTTTCTCCCCTGACGAAATGGAGAGCCAAGGGCTAGCCCTGCTTTCTGCAGCAGGATTCTGGGAGGAGGGAGAGGCATGCTAGCCCTTGGGGAGAAGAACAGTGTTGGACGCAAGTTCAGTGTTGGGTTGCTTTTGCCTTTTAGCCATCTGGAACCTGAGGCCTGGTTTCAGGGCTTCACCAGATAAAAGTAACTGCCTTCAAGGGTCTCTGGCCAGCCGGGGCTCCCACACGCCTGGCACTTTCCCTCTTCCCCGCCAACCCCAGTGAAGTCAAGCCTGAGACCAAAGGGCCCCAGCCTTGTCCTGAGAACCCTCTGCCGTCCTGAGTACAGGCCCCATCCATGTGACCCGCTGTTGGTGAGCGGGCGTTGCTTCCCTTTTTGTAGACAGAGTGGGAAGTTTGGGAGGAAGCAGAGCAGTTGGGTCTTGTCTTTGCCGGGGTGGCTGATAAGTGCTTCCCCAGCAGCTTCTGAGAAGTCCCGACCCTTCGTCTTCCCAGGGCTGTTCCCGCCCTATGTGGTTTTTTTTCCCCAGGGGACGGCACCCAGGCAGGAGCAAGGAGTATAGGTTCTGGGACTCTGTGGTGATTTGTCTCTCCACTGGATCCTGGCGGGGGCGGGGCGGGGTGGGGACAAAAAAAGGATAAACTAGGACAGCAATCTTGAGGAACAGCTCCGTGTCCTTCACAGAATGTTGGGAGCCCTGAAGCTGAGGGCAGCCGCCCATCTGGGGTTGGGAGAACAGTGTTTCCTTTCTGTGGTTCCTGGTTCTTCTGTTCCCTGCTTACCCATGCCCCACCCTCCACCTGCTCAGATCTTCCCAACCTTCAAGGCGCTGTTCCTGTCATCACCTCTGTGAAGCCCCCTGGGCTGTACCAGCACTACCTTGGGACCACTTGGTTGGTATTTACAGTCCAAGATGGGTAATAACCTGTCTGGCTTTGTCTACTACATGGTCTAGTTTACCCACATGGCTTATAATGTTCTCCAGAGCAAGGATCTTGAGTCAGAAAAATAATCTCCTGAGAAGAGAATTGGCCCTCCGTCACTCACCTGCCTAAATCCCTTCAGGGAAAGGCAGGTCATTGCATTTCTTGCCCCTGCCTGGTCTGGCCCCTGCCCAGTCCTTCAGCTCTCCTTAGGCCTTGCTCCTTCCCCTTGCCCACTGCACATGGGCTCCCTGGCTTTCTCCAGCTCCTCTCTCTCATCAAGCCCCTGCCCACCGTGGAACCAGCATTGAGGAATACTGTCCTCTGAGCCCCCAGGCTTCCATTTCAGGGTAAATGTTCCTTCCCTTCTGGGAGAAGCTGTCCTTCCCCACACTGTCTCAGGAGGTCCCCTTATTTCCTTCATTGTGCCCAGGTGAAAATAGTGTGTATGACAGTTTCCTTGTGTTTTGTCTGTCTCCCCTATTGAATGGGGGGCTCCACGGGGCAGGGATTGGACGTGTGTGGTGAGTCACTGAATACCTGGTCTGACCTCACATTAGGCACTTGGTACATTATTCGTGGGGCATATGATGATAATAGTAGCAGCTAACATTATTGACTGCCTCCTGGGTACCAGGCACCTACTTGATATTTCATATAAATTATGGCTCTTGATCTTCCCATCAGTGTTCTTGAGAAGGTAATATTACCCCAGTTTTACAAATGAGGTTTCAGAGGCCCAGATGCTAAGTGACAGAGCTGAGACTCAAACCCACACCTCCTGGCCTGCACCAGGGAAAACCCCATCCTACTGCCCTTGCAAAGCCTGGGCGTTAGGGTTAATTGGTCCCAGTGCTAAGAGGCTCGGAAGGAGGGCTCTGCTTTTCCCTGCCTTTTTCCTCACTTCTGGACTTTCTAGAGCTGGGAGGACAGGGGAGCTGGGAAGTCAGAGCCTCATCTGGGTATTTGGGTAGATGGGACTTACTCTTATGGACAGGCATTGCTGGAGCTTGGCTGCCCTGGTGGTCCTCTCTCAGACCAAGCCAGTGATAACTCCGGTCTCTGTTAATGTCACTGTTCCAGCCAGTCTAGCCTCTAGTCACCCGTTATTGGCTGGAATGCTTCTCTGGTTAGAAAGCTCACTAACCAATCCTATGAGGTGATGGGGACCTGCCCCCATGACTTCTCCTGGCTGTTCCTAGGTTTCCAGGGTGACTCAGACTAAGTCAAAGGGCTCTTTCTGCACAGCCTTTCCACTAGATGAAGAACACATTAAGCACGTCTGACTCAGGCTTCTGTCTTCTGTGTAAATGTGTCTGCCCCTCCCATACTTTCTCTAAGTGACAGGGGTCCAGACCCTGTCTCCTGGAGGACCTCTGGAGTGCAGTCTAGGCATCTTTGCAGGCTTTGGGGCTAAGGGAAGGCCAATCAAGGAAGAGTTCGTTATCTTTTGATATCAGGGGTTTTTTTTTTTTTGCTTCAGCTGTGAATTTTAGTAGCTTTTTTCCCCCGATGATAAAAATTAATATTTACTCAGGTACCTGGGTGGCTCAGTAGATGAAACATCTGCGTTTGGCTCAGGTCATGATCTCAGGATCCTGGCATCGAGCCCCGCATCAGGTTCTCCACTCAGCAGGGAGCCTGCTTCTCCCTCTCCCTCGGCCCCTCCTCCAGCTTGTACTCTCTCTCTCACTTGCTCACTATGTCTCAAATAAATAAAATCTTTTTAAAAAAATTAATATTTACTCATTGTAGGTGGTTCAGAAAATGCAGAAAAATCACACTGAAGAAATTGCACCCAGGTCCCATTCTCCTACCGTCCCCTTGTTGGGCATGAAGGCAACAGCTGCAGCTCCCCACCAGTGTTAGGGAGTGCCCCGAGTTACTCTTTGTCCCTGCATCCACCCCACATGAAGGCCCTGGAGCATCTTGGTGTAGATAAGCTCAGTTGACAGATAAGTTTCATCTCACCTGCCAGTCTCAGCATGGAGAGAGTCTGGGACTGTGACCAGGCTCAGTGAGAAAGAGCATTGTGATTGACTCGTGATGTCTGCCATGGTCGACTTGCAATGTCTGCTATGGGTACAGGAGGTAGGATGTGGCCACATGCCCTCCGTGGCCTTGTTGAGGCCCAACTCCAGCTACGGGAAGTGCATGTCTGTGCCCTGGAGCTTCTGCCCATCTGGTTCATCGGTTCTTACCTTCTCTCTTTCTCCCTCCTCACTCCCAGCCCATGAAACCCCTGAAGGCCACAGCCACCACCTCCCAGCCCGTGCTCACCATCCAACAGATCGAGACCATCTTCTACAAGATCCAGGACATCTATGAGATCCACAAGGAGTTCTATGACAACCTCTGCCCCAAGGTGCAGCAGTGGGACAGCCAGGTCACCATGGGCCACCTCTTCCAGAAGCTGGTGAGTCTCCTGTGGACGGACAGCACTTATCTGATGCCTCAGTAGAGATGCTGGTGTTGGGAAATGTCCAGGAATCCCCAGCCTTCTTGATCTCCTTCAAGGCCTGGGTCACTTCTGAGTCCCGGAGGAAAGCCTGGACCTCTGCTCTGTGGGGCCCTGGGCCTAGTGTCCCGACTCCAGGCCTCCCACTGTAAAGCCTGAAAGTGCTTCTAGGGATGTGAGGGGCTTCAGGGCTGGAATGAAGGTTCACCTGCTGGGCTTCAGGTTGCCTGTCCCTCAGCGGACAGAGAGGCTGACAGTGCCAGTGGGCAGGCAGGGACTGCTCCCTTGAAACACTGGGCATTTGCCTCACCAAGGTGCTGCCTCTGAAATGAAGCAGTCAGACGGGTCAGTGAATGATCCCCTCCTGGGGCCTCTAGAGCAGAAAGCATCAAGAACTCAGCCCACCCACCATTGCAGGGGAGAGACAAGGTAGAATTAGCATGCAGACATAGTGTTGGGAAAGGCTTTCAGAGGTCTTCCAGTTCCCAAGGCTTCTGTGACACCTTCTCCCCTAGCTGTGAGACTGTCTCTGGCTGTGTCCCAGGAGGACCCCCAGGTTAGACCTATGGCGCCCCCATCCCCACTCTTTACTGCCCATAACTTCGCCCGCCCAGGAGGCAGCAAGGAGACTGCCAGTCCGTGATCTTTGTTGTCTGGGTGTGAATGGAGGTGGGCAGGGAGCAGTGCCTCTCCTTTACCTCCCCTGCAGTGGTGGGACCGGTTGAATGGACAGGCCTGTACTCTCCTTACACTGGAGAAAACTCTTGCTAAGATTCTTCTAGGGCCTCAAGCTCACGGTATGTTCAGAACTGAACTTACTGTCTCAAAAGTTCTTTGCTCTTCTTCCTGCCTCTGTGTCAGTGGGTGTTGCCACCATCCCATCCCCCATCCATCCATGACTCCCTTGGACTAGTCCTTGGTACCTCCCTGCTCCACTCCCTTCCCCATCCCCACTTCTGGAGGATGCTCACTGCTGGGCCTGCCTTGCCCTGCCCCCTCTGGGGCCCTCCCTTCCCCTCAGGAGTGGCTCCTGCCTCCAGGCCCCCCTTCCTGCCAGCCTCCCCACCTCTACTTAGCAGCAGCAGAGTTACCTGAACTCCTGACCTCGCTTCTCCCCAACTTAAATCCCTTCAGTGGCTCCCCCTTGCCTGTTGAATAAATGCCAGGCTCTGAGGAATGGCTTATGAGACCCTTTGCATGCTGGCCATCCCTGGCCTCTGGCTCTTGCTTCCCCTGTCCTTGTGTGCTCCCTCCCCGCACTGACACTGAACTTTCTATTCTCAGTCCATGCAGCAGACACTCTTGACCTCTCTAGTTTTTTTAGCTCCAGCCGCCTGAAATGTCCTTCCCCAACTGCTTCCAGCTTAGAAGTGACATCCTTGGCAAAACCTTCCCCCAAACTTCCAATGTAGCCCCTTTGTTTATCCCCTCAGTGAACATGGGAACCTCCTGTCTCCCTAAAACCATAAGCTCTCAGAGAATAGGCTGCATTTTCTTTATCATTAGACCCCAGAACTAGCCTAGTACTCAATACATGATGAGTGAGTAAATGAATGAGTGCACCATGACCTTGACTACTGTGACTTGGGAGAACTTGGAAGGGCATCGAGGGGGATGTACATCACAGGGCCTGAGGTCTGCGTCCCAAGAGGCCAGCAGTGTTGTAGGGACAAACATAGCTTCTAGAGCCACAGCTTACTTTGTTTTGGTTTTTTCAAGAGTTACTTATTTATTTGAGAGAAAGAGAAAGTGTGCACATGTGGAAGAGGGGAGGGGCAGAGGGCGAGGGGAAGAGCCTCCCAAGTAGACTGTGCTGAGTGCGGAGCCCGAGGCAGAGCTCCAAGTGGGCTTGAACTCACAACCCTGAGATCATGACCTGAACCAAGAGCAAGAGTCAGGGGTTTAACTGACTGCACCATCCAGGTGCCCCCAGCTACAGCTGACTTTAAATCCTGACTCTTCTACAGATTAAGCCTGTGACTTTGGGCGCAACCTCTCTGACTCAGCTTCCTCATCTGTGAAAAAGAGGATAATAATAGTATTTACCTCACCGAATTGTTGTGAGGACTACGTGAGTTAATACCTGAAAAGGGCTTGGAACAGGGCCCAGAACATAGTAAATTAGTAAATACTCAATAGTCAGCCATTAGCATTACTGTTACTACCATCACCGCTGTCACCACCATCGTCGTCCTCGCTATTCTTAGTGAGAGGCACCCTGGAAGGTGGTATTGCCGGGGAACCCCACACTCCTGGTTCCGGCAGCCCCAGAGTGCCTGCTCCAGTTCAGGGACAGCATGTACCCAGTCATCACTCCTGGCCTGGTCCCAGGAGCCTGAGTGGATTGGCTCTGGGGACAGCCTCTCCTCAGCCTCATCAGAGAACAAACGAGAGGAGGGTGGGGGTACCTAGGCCAACGCATAGTGGAGATGCTGTCCCACTTTTATCTCTGTCACTTGGACCCTGCTGTCACCAGTGTCCTGCATTCAGCTCCACAGGCCCCGGGTGGTGAATTTGCTATCCCCCTCCCCTCCCCAGCAGCATGAAGGGCTCTCCGCAGCCCCGGGGACTGCAGGCCTGGGAGGGCCGGGGAGGAGCTGGGCAGCCCAGGCATCTGGAGGTGGTTTATTTTCAGCTGGTCTCCATTACTGAGAGAAGGGAATTAGCATCTCTGCTATTTGTTTTATGAGATCACCCCAGTGCCAGGCTGCTGTTTCCAAGCAACCTCCACATCCCAGTTAATGGCCCTGGCAGGCCAGGCCTTAGGCTCTGCAGACGAGGGTACACCGTGAAGTTGGCAGTGCCTGGGACAGGCCTTGACCCCCGTGTGCCAGTCTTCTGCCCGGGTGACTCCAGCTCCAACTCAGCTCCTGCTACTCCCTTAGGCTGTGGGGTGGGAGGATAGCGTTCTGACCTTGGCAGCCAACCCTCATCATTCTTGTGGGAAAGGGGGACAAGGAGAGCACATCCCCGGAAGAAGAAAAGCAATGATTTTTACTTTGGTTTAGGAAGCAATTGTCTAGCACCTCCCCCGTAGCCTGGGACACCGGTGGGCTGGATTCTCCCTGGAAAAGGAATTAAATTCATCCCTTCCTGCACTTCCGCCAGATTTGTCGTCTTTGCCAAAAGTCTGGCCCATCTGAGGCTGAGACCTGCACAGCTCTGGCCTTGGTTTCTTTGCAAGCACCGCCGTTCTCATTTTCCCCTCTGGCTTTCCCGGCCCCCCACCTGCCAGGCTTTCCACCTGCCCCAGATCTTCTGGATCTGGAGGAACACGAGAGTTCTGCAGAAAGCAGAGTGGTCCAGGGTGGGCCTCCTGGGCAGCCTGCTTTCCCCAGCACCTTAGCATCCCCCCGAGGAAGCCCCGTGGCAGCTGAACCTCTGTTGCTACTTGACTGCAAAATATTTAAACCAGAAATTCTAGAGAATATGTGTAGCAAACAACTGCACTCATTCCCCCAGAACTGATGGATGTTAAACTCTGAAGATAGGCTTTTTAATCAAGGAAACAAAGCATTGTAGATGAAGTCTGTCTCCCTTCCCTTCGCCCTTCTGCTCAGCACAGAAGCAGCTACTGGAATGAATTTGGTGTGTTGCCTTCTGGGCTGCAGTTTCTATTTTTATTATGTATCTGTATCTTTTTGTGGCATTACATGTACTTTTTCAACATATATATTTTATGTATTTTGCAATTCGATCATTTGGGAACTTGTCGGTGTTACTACCCATAGACCTCATTCCATTATTGTAGCTGCAGTGTGGATATGAATTACCGCATTTGTGAGCATCTGTCCCCAGTCTCTCTACAGGAGGGAGAGTGGAACAGTGAATCCCCTTGCTCACGGCTCCTTGGGGACATACAAGGGCAGGTTTCACTAGAGCAGTGCCTCCACTAGAACTATAATGCGAGCCACGTACGCTAATTTTAAATTTCCTAGTAGCCCTTACTTAAAAGTAGAAATAGGGGCGCCTGGGTGGCTCAGTGGGTTAAAGCCTCGGCCTTCGGCTCAGGTCATGATCCCAGGGTCCTGGGATCGAGCCCCGCATCGGTTTCTCTGCTCAGCAGGGAGCCTGCTTCCCTTCCTCTCTCTCTGCCTGCCTCTCTGCCTACTTGTGATCTCTGTCTGTCAAATAAAGAAATAAAATCTTAAAAAAAAAAAGTAGAAATAGACGCAGGAAATTAATTTTAAGAATGCATTTTATTGTTAAAAAATATGTATTTTGGGGCGCCTGGGTGGCTCAGTGGGTTAAAGCCTCTGCCTTCAGCTCGGGTCATGATCCTAGGGTCCTGGGATCGAGCCCCGCATCGGGCTCTCTGCTCCGCAGGGAGCCTGCTTCCTCCTCTCTCTCTGCCTGTCTCTGCCTACTTGTGATCTCTGTCTGTCAAATAAATAAGATCTTTAAAAAAAAAAAATATGTATTTAGCCCAAGAGATCCAAAATATTGTCATTTTAGCATGTAATCATTATTTAAAAATTAATGAGATCATTTTCATTCTCTTTTACATACTAAGTCCTTGAAATCCAGTATGTATTTCCTACTTAGAGCACATCTTGGGGCGCCTGGGTGGCTCAGCCGGTTAAGCATCCGACTTTGGATTTTGGCTCAGGTCGTGATCTGATCAGGTTGTGAGATTGAGCCCCATGTCCAGCTCCGAGCTGGGTGTGGAGCCTGCTGAAGAGTCTCTCTTTTCCTCTCCCTCTGCCCCATCTCCCTTTCTAAAAAAAATGCGCGCACACACACACACACACACACACACACACGCAGCACATCTCAGTTTGGACTAGCCACTTCTCAGGTGCTCACCTGCTACAAGTATTGACTGACACCCGAACCGGACCCCAGACTCTGGGGTTTGTATGTAGAAGTGGGTTTGCTAAGGAGTAGGCTGAGCTGTGCATATTTTTAGATTCATCAGTTATTGACAAATTACTGTCCAAATAACAGGCCTGACGCCCCCATAAGCAGTCTGTAAAAGCTCTAATTTCCCCCTCATTCTTGCCAACCTTTGATATGATTAGACTTTAAAATTTGGGGCAGATTGATGGGGATGACATAGTACCTCACCGTGCTTGTAACTCACATTTCTACCCTTTCCTCTCTCAAGGGGAAATGCATATATGCAAAGCACAGGAAGACTTTCCATAAATATTTGAGGAATTAAGTTAATGAGCCTCGGTTTCCCCTTTTGCAGAAAGGGATGATGGTATCCGTTCTGCCTCTCAGAGCTGAGGTTCTGTGTGGTTGTAAGTAGTGGGAAGCTTTGTGTTAGGTTCAGAGCGACATGCAAATGTGTCCTGAGGCTGGTAGGGTCTCTGGCTCCTTAAGAGGCTGAGGATGTAGGGACAGGGACTGAGGGAGGCCAAGGGAAGTGGGGACTGCATCTCTTTTTTTAAGTAATCTCTACACCCAACCTGGGGCTCGAACCCACAACCCGAGATCAAGAGTAGCATGCTCCACTGACTGAGCCAGCCAGCTGCCCTTACCCCACTGGGACTGCACCTTTAAATGCTGTGCCTTACACTCAGCCTGGGGAGTGGGGTACTGGGCAGGCTAATTCCAGGCTGTGAAAGACGGGTAAGGCATTACGGGGCTTCAAACCCCAGGAGACCTTTATGATGCTAAATAAAGCCAAATGCTGTTGAATTTCTTGTGTGCCAACAAAGACCCTGCCCTGCTCCCCCCATCCCCAGTACTCTCTTGTTAACCTTATTGGCTGAGCTGGTTTCCATGGAAACTGTCAAGTTCAAAGGGATACTATAGTATGTTCATCCCGCCTTTCACCTCTGTTCTGAGTGTAGCCCTTTGGAGCAAAGTTAGAGGTTCTGAGTGCCAAGGGAGCTCCAGGTGCCCTGCTTACGGTGTCATCCATTCATTAATCCTCCTTCCCATCCCCCTGCCCTCCTCTCTCTCTCCTCTTCTCCCTGCAGGCCAGCCAGCTCGGTGTGTACAAAGCATTTGTGGATAACTATAAAGTCGCTCTGGAGACAGCTGAGAAGTGCAGCCAGTCCAACAACCAGTTCCAGAAGATCTCTGAGGTGGGCAGCTCCCCGCACAGCCCCTGCCTTCTGGCCTCTGGGCCCGTTGCCCATTAGGGAAATGGTTCCCCTGAGGGGAGCACTTAGACTGACAGTTGCTTTCTTGCACTTGACATTTTCCCTCGTAATATAAGAATAACGATGTGTTTGATTTTGTTATTCTGTTTAGGTTATTCTGTATCAGAACAGAGGAGACGAAAAAGAAAAAAAAAAAAAAAGGCAGTATTGTCACACGCTGTGGTGACCTTGAGCAAGTCCCTTCCCTTCTCCTGGCCTTGTTTCCTCTTCTGTCCAGTGAGGGGTCTGGATTCTTCAGCTCATCCCTGGTTTGCTCGATAAGAACCACCAGGGGCACTGTTTAAAATGCAGATCTCCAGACACCTTCCCTGGAGCTTTAATTCAGAGAGTTTGGGGTGGGACCCAGGAGTCTCTATTTTTGAAGCTTCCCCGGGTTATTTTTATGATCAGAAAGATTGGAAGAGTTCTGGACTAGCTTGTCTCTTAAGATCTTTTGCAACCGCACGACAGAGAGAGGACCAGGGCCATTTGTGAGAAGCAGCCGTACACTTTGGCTGGAAGCCTGCCTCTCTCTGCTGTTGCCAGGAGCCTTCCTTCCATGCTCCTCTGCTGGGCAAAGCTGTGGCATTGGCTGCCATTGCCTCTCCAGGAAGCGGCAGGGAGGAGCTCTAATCTCCTCCCGGGAGCACAGCCCAGCCTCCCTCTTGCGTTGAAAGGATCTCCATAAGACTCCTGAAGCTGCTGCCCTTGCTGTCACAGCCCCAGCTCCAAGCTTGGGTCAAGAGAACCTCTGGGTCCAGGGAAGGGGAGCTCCTTCTGCAGTTTTGGAAATTCTGCCTTACAGGCCTCGACGGACCCTTTGCTTTCCCATCTCTGCTCTGATGCTAGAAAAGTCGGGGAGATGCAGGATAGCGTTGGTGAGACTCTGGGGTGACAGGTTCTACTCCAGTTTGGAATCCACTGAGAGGCAGCACACAAGTTGGACAGCTGGAGATGAAAATGTCAACTCGATTACTATTAAAAGCCAGGTTGGAAAAATGTGGCCTTGGATCTGTAGGCACATTGGGCTTGCTAGCACTTCCCCTCCACAATGAAACACATCTATTGGGGAAGGAAACAGGGAGCTAAGCTCAGTTTCTTCTTCCAGCCCCAGCCATGGAGTGCAGTCAGTCACCCTCTGCCTGGGAGAACAGAGCTGGGTGGGGAGGTCCCTCTGCTTGGGGTCACAAGGCGGGAGAAATGGTGCTTCCCCTCATGGCTCCCAGCCCTCCCTGGGAACAAACTGTAACCGCCCAATGTGTGTCCCAGGGTCACGTCTGGTCCAGAGAGTGGCGAACCTCCTCTTAGCCTAGGCCGACTGCCTGTTCTCTGGTCGGCGGAGACCCCCGCACTCCTCCCAAATCCCTCTCCCAGACTCCCGCCCTGGCGGCAGAGCGGGCCCCCTGGCCTGCTGCCAGGTGGCTTCTCACCCTGACTCACGCTGACGCTGTCACTTCCTACTGGCACTTCCACTTAATTACTGCAATTAGGGCCCTTCTCCTCTGCAGTGGGAGCGATTTCATACCTCTGGGCTACGCTGGAGGGGGGCACGGGGACAAGTTTCCTAAAGCTAGGAATCCAGTCACCCACCAGAGACAGCCTTGGGGAGCTGAGTACCCCCCTTCTCCCCACCCCAATCCCCAAGCTCAGTCCCTAGGGGTTTTCTCTGTTGAGAAACAGCTTGAGGCAGGAGTAGGAAATGTGGGGCTCCTGCTGCCTGGGTGTGTCCCCCCCCCCCCCCGTTCCAGGCAGAGCAGAGCAGGCACCATCCCCTGGGTCCCTGACCTTGGCCTTCGCTCACCCTAGCCTCCCTGTTGACACCCCACCTGGAGGCCCCCCCTCCACACACTCAGCCCTGCCTGCCATGGGGATTGCGTTACAGCTCCAGTTGCGGGCCCTAGTGGTCTGTCGCCAAGGGCCAGAGCTGGAACCTCTCTCTCCAAAGGCTGAGAAAATAGGATCAGATAAGCAATCCCGATTCTTCTCTCCCGGGCACTTGGCTTGGGGGCCAGGAGGGGTGTGGCCTCTTCCTTGCTTGCAGTTTCCTCCCTTATGTTAGCACCTGTGGGTGGGGGATGGCAGGTGGGGTTGGGGGCTGGATGAACCCCTCTCCATCCGGGTAGGATCTAGATGGGACTGCCCTGTGGAGCTCAGTCTCTGTCCTGGGTACGTAGGACCCCTGGCTCCTTATCTCCAGGGCTGCCCACGCCCTAAGGGTTCACCTGCCTTTTGTCCTCTCAAATCCCATGTACCCCGGGCTGATGGTGGACAGAAGCCCTAACTCATGGCTGCTGCTGGGGGATCCAGCTCTTGCCACCTCTCCAGAAGGCCATCAGAGTCACCAGGGTGGGGTGTTGGGGGGTGTGTCCGAGGAGCACCGGAGCTCCACACCTCTCTGGTACCCAGAGCCCCTCCTTCCTGCCTACATCCAGCCTCCTCCGTACTCCACACACGCCGGGAGACCATGGGTACGGCACAGGGAGTCTGGAGTCCATGAGTCAGGGGGAGACCTGGGCTCTGGTCTTTGTCCTTCTGTTTGTACCCTGGCTTCCAGAGCACTGCTTCTTCCTGCTCTGGCTGCTATAAGGGAAGGGGAGGTTCACGGGGCAGGCCATGTAGTGATTCCTTCCCTCTGTTCGGCAGGAACTCAAAGTGAAAGGTCCCAAGGACTCCAAGGACAGCCACACGTCAGTCACTATGGAAGGTACTCGGGGGAGCGGGCTGGGTAATAGTTATTCCTTTGTCTGCTCTATGGACTACGGTGCCCTGCTCATGTGAGCATGTGCATGGGAATGAGAGAGAGGGGGAGAGAGAGAGAGTGTGTGTGTGTGTGTGTGTGGTATGCACAAATGCGAGGAATCCAGCCT